GGACACCGATGGTCGGAAGTGCGTTGCTTCCAAAATACAGGGTGTTGAAATTTAAACAACCCCCTTTCATATCATCTAGAGGGCTAATGCAAGGCTGTTCAAATTTTCAGGGATTATTGATTTAGGAATGATATTTAAGAATTTGTATAATGCACCCCCATTTTCTACCTGGAACCACTCCAAAAAAAATAAAATTTGAGACAAATTGCTTTTTTTTTTTCAATTTTTTTTTTTTTTTTTGGGGGGGTGCATTATATAAATTTTTAAATATCATTCCTACATCAATAATCCCTGAAAATTTGAACATCCTAGCATTAGCCCTTCAGATGATATGAAAGGGGACTGTTCAAATTTCAACACCCTGTATTTAGGAAATGACGCACTTCCGACCATCAGTGTCCTATCTCAAACTACTTCTCTATATATCCTAGCATTTTTAACCAGTTGAACGGGGACACCCTGTATGTGTCAAGTTAATAGGTCTGTTCTCACAGAAACTACAAACCAGCCAGAGCGTTCTTGATTGGTGCCAACAAACAGTTTTCTGACTATTTTCAACCAATGAAATTCGGTCTGACTGGTTTTTGATTTCTGTGAGAACAGACCTTTAGTTGTAAGTATAGGTCCTCATACTTTGTCAATAAAGGTATTTATTTTATTGCTTCTTGGACAATGAAGCACTTTATTCAAACATATTTGCAGCAGAGGGTAGGTACTACCAAAAATACACATGTAGATAACGGCTAGGCGCGCTAGTTTTTCTTTTCTAATATAAATCATGGCGAGTTATTCTTAAGATAAAAGCCCAGTTCATGTAGACGTGAATTCGCCGATTTTAGAGTGAAAATCTCCGAGAAACAATGGTATCGGGTCGTACTGAGGAAACCTTGCACCAGTCGGTACTAGCTGAAACATTATCATAAATTTGAGTACCTATCAAATTCTCAGCAAATCAATATCCAGTTTTGTCGCCGATCTAATCACATCAAAACTGGGTACCGGTGTGTCATAATTTGACTTAATGCTAAAATTTATGGTAATTGTAACACGTGGTGCAAGATTGGCAGCGAACGATAGTGATATTTCTGGGAGATTTTAACTGAACGAGTGTGCAGAGGCGTCAATGCATGTCGAAAACTGGGTTTATCAGGCGAACCTGATTGAAATAGTTCAGTGGTCTCGGTTTCGTTGTAGATCTTACATAGCAACGACGAGCTGCGAGAACACCGAAATGCTTATATGTGCGCAACGAAACTGGGTACCGGTTTACCATGATTCAGTTCTTCAATCTACTCATATCAAAGTGTCGTAATTTCAACATGACTCATGTGAGAGATATTTTTGTTTTTTATTGAAGTTCTGGTTCGATTTTCGATTAACTACCTGCACTAATAATATTCTTTCCACGCACAAAACAAATGCTTATAGCCAAGATAGGTAAATTCTGTTATACGTGTGAGGTAAATTGGTAGATAAAATAATTAATAATTCAATAATGTTATGTTAGGCTTTAGAAAAATCGAATGTTAGTAAAATGAAGTTCACTTACTGTATAGAAATGAAGATACACAAACATTAGTAGACAGATACAGAAGCCACAGGCGTTGACAGCCACTTCTCGTACCACTTTGGCAAATACACAGTAGTATAACTTGGAAACACTGGGTGGTGGTATTATTTACGGATTTTTTTTGTAGGTTTGTGATTTTTTTTGTACAGCACTACGGCACTAGAAAACAGCTTGGCAGTATAGGCTGGACAGACTAGATTTTGGGGTAAGTACAAGGGGGAACTTCGGGAACAGAACTTTAATACATGTTTTTTGCTAATGCCCAAATTATTTTTTTATTCAAATGCGCCGTTCCTGTATCAATCAAGACAATTGCACAAAATACGTTTGAAAACTGAAATTTATTCTTGTAACTATTTTTATAATTAGCTATACCAAATTTTAAGTTGATATTCAAGTTGAAAAAATGTATACGCATTTAGTGCGCCAAATTTGGGCAAAAAAAAAGTATAGGTATTTCATAAGACACAACAAGCAATAGGTGTACAATTATTCAAATCCCATAGTACTTATGATCGATCTGAACATGTATACATGAATATATGCTTCTATTCTTACTCAATACATGGTCAGATCGATCATTCCCACCTATTACCAGTTTCATCTGACAAAATTAGCTGTATGTCCGTCCTGTTCTGCGTCCGAAGTCCCAAACAATTAACAGATAAAACCCTGCAAAAAGATTAAACAATGATTAACACAAAACAGCAAGTGATTGGTCTAATAACTTTGGTTTAATAACAATAGAAAATAAGGGTACAATTCAATCAAATACATGCTCAATATGTATATAAGATATTGTAATTTAAGACTCAAAATTAAATTCTACAATCCAGTTGCTGGGGATCGCAATGATATCAAGTTCACGAAAGAAAATACACACTTTCGAGATTGGTAATTCAGCTACAAAATTAACTAAAAATAATGACAATTGGGAATCGGTACAAGTTTTATAAAATTGACAATTTATCGCAGATTTTACAGTTGTTCCTAAGACTTTTTTTTTTACCAGGAAAAACAGAACTTCAGTAAACAGATTTACTAAAAGCATCCCACCTATTTTGTATAGTCGACGAAATTAAAATGTTTTCTGAATCTGACATAGCTTGTGTAGTGAATTCATCCAAAAATTGCGAAAACTAGAAACTTTGATAAGACACCAAAACGATCCGTTTTGGTAAGAACTTACACACCTAGAGTCCCATTGTTCAGATAATACCTAGAAGTTTATGTATGTGTAAATAGAAATCAAAAATTGCGAAAACATACCGAAAAGGTTTTGGATTTTCACGCAAATTGAAAACATTTTGATCTTTGAATTCGGCTTGAACCGAGGCTAGAACTCACAAAGCTGAATTCACTATGCAGACCTTTTTGATTGGGTTCTAACCAAATCAAAGGCTGACATTTTGAAACTTTGACAAACAGAAAAATTTCCGGAAATATTTCTCTGGGCGTGATTACACTGGAAAGTTTTTTGACATAGTAAATTCGCATGGCTGAAACTTGTAACTTGTGTCAGGTTTTTAAATATTGACATAAGATCTTAAATTCTCACGCAAATTAGAGAAAAGATGAATTCTGAATTCGGCATTGGACCACCGGGTTTGGCAGTTACAGCTTCACATTATCCAGGTAAATATTATAATATCAAAATTTGCTAATAAGCTGCTTAATAAGTAAATCAAAATCATAATTACTTCTCAAATATATTTCAGTCTTCTTTCTATTCTGAAAAATAGAGTAGCTATGAAAATTTGCTTCGCATTTATCATGAATTGGTTGCCTTCGACTGCACATAACATTATTATCCTAATAAAAATGCAACCCTTAGTAGTGTATTTTCGTTGGAAATTAAAGTTTCTGTATTTGCTTCCGATTCCCAAGAGTATTTACTATTTGCTCGCGAAAACCCCTATAGCACCAAAGCCTTATTTCTTTTTTTATCTCATTCATTGCATTTTCCCCAGCAATTGACTTGACAAGTCACCCAACATTTACAAAAAAAAAAATAAACGTGGCTTAAGGAATAATAAAAAACTTAAACAACAGAGGATGCCTATAACGCGCTTACGCCACGAAGAACAAACATCGTTACAAAAAAAAACTAAAAAGAAAACTTATTCAAAAACCAAGAAAAAAACATGAACCCAACATAACATTTAAATACGGAACATCCTCGTCATCATATTATCAAATATTAATTAGCAAAAATACAGGACACTTATTGAAGCGTTCAATGGGACAAAACTTACCTAGGTCCTTAGTCTATTTGTGCCATCCACAATATTCACTTAAATATAAAGCTAAAATTTGTTTTAAACATTTAAGTGCTGACTTAGATACTCTTTGGTGAGGTTTGTGTAAGTACTGGCCTAACAGAGAATTGTATCGGTGTATTGTGGCAGAAAAGTCCATAGCAGCCTGCTGCTACTTTAAAAATTGTCTTTGTTTCTAAACAAGAATATAAAAACTCGCTCCATGTTCCGCCATATTATCGATGCTATCCCTAAATTAATCGCCCCTCCAATAATGCTATAGATATAACAGGACCTAAATAATTTTTAATTTTGAAAGCAACAATAAGGCCTCTGTAGTTTTACCAGGATACAGCCAAAAATAGAACCAATATGGTGCAGTGTATCGATATCTTTTTAAATGGTAATTTCACTGTGATGAAAAGTAATAACATTTATTATGCTCCATGCATTATGGGTAGGTACCTTATGAATTTTGATAAATTTGGACAGTGATACTACCATAATCGAAAGAGTCGTTATTTCTAATGCAATAAGCTATAGTACCCTACTGGTTCCCATTAATTCTTTTTTAAAGGTATGACCATATACAATAATTACTTTATCAATGTACAGGGCGATCGTTTTGTGGACCGCAGTTAACTAGTAAAAATATCTCACAGTTCGTAAAAATAGCAGCTAAATCCTGAGTTGGGCACACTGCACTGGCGCGGTGTTTACTTTGTACAAGGGAAATGTATGTAGTACAAAATTAATTTTTATGTGTTTACTATTATTTTTTTTTGGGGAGCTGTACTGGCTTTTGTGTCAAGCAGATAAGGTTTAATTTGGAAACAGAAATGTATCTACATGGATATGTCAATTATAAAAAATAAATAAACGCTTTCTTCTAGCTTTATCGTTTACAATATTCCAACACAACTTTGATAGATACGATACACATTTTGGCTATTTAAGTAAGTATAGTATTAAGCCAAAAAGTGACCGTTTCTCTAATCTCCCATAATCAATAAAATAAAATAGATAAATGATGACAGTTTCTGTCTCCAAACCACAAAATTATCCTACTCGAATTTTTACATTCCTATGTACTATATCTATACTATACTTTGGTTAATAAGGTTTCGCCCCTTCTTTGGCCCTTTTCAGTTGTACCTTGAGCCGTTTGGTACCAATCTGAAACCCATTCATTGCTGCTATGGCTTGTTGTGCCGAGCTCGCGTTATCGAACGACACGAATCCGAAACACTTGGACAAGTTGGTCTGTTTGTCGATGAAAACTTTGGCAGATATTACGGGCCCGAAGGGCAGGAACGTGGATGCCAAGTCTGTGTCGGTAAACTCTTGGGGTAGATGGTAGATAAACAGGTTGCATCCATCTGGTCCTGAAAAACGGAAACAAATTAGTTGGAGATTATCGTGATAACTGATTTAAAAAAAAAAGATTTTTGCAAATTGTATGGGATACGCCAATGACATTATTAATACAGATAGACGTAGCTATTGACAAACACCGCTGTTCAGATATCGGAGCAATTAATTATTCAGAACGCTTTCAATTGTTGTAGGGGCACTGTTTTTCAGTCTTTCATCCCACTTTAAGAGCTCTGTTTCAGAAATTGAAAAAAAAAAAACAAACAATTTGTTTTGTCAATTGAGTGAATGAAAATATAGTTATTGAATTGATTGATTTTGTGTAGTTGCTCGTGCTGATACATGGGGCGCAATCATTTTCGGACACCTCTCATTGGGATTTGGATTGGGTTGGGTCAAAAACTGAAGCCCAAAATAGGGACCAGCTCATTTCGGGTTTACACTTGCATGTTCACCTTCGATGTGGCCTTTTTGACTTTGAGGTATTACAGGGTGTCTCAAAACGACCCAACTATTTTGAATGGAATTTAAAACCAATCTGTTTATTGTTTCGTGGGTTATTCTCGTAAGCAATAGAGTTAAGATAACCCCCACAAGAAAAAATCAGGGTTTCGAGGCGGCCATTCGATGTTATCACCCCTTCTTGAAATTACTTTTCCGGGGAACAACTCGTACAGGGCTTCAATTCCTAGTGGTTTGCAACGTGGAAGGCATATGACGACTACTTTGGACGTATTCAGTTCAAATTCTTGGGTAGTGAAACATGGCTCTGGTTCAAAAGAGCGATATTCGAAATAGCGACATCAAAAACGCGACATATTGTTAAAGCAATACATCAAAATAGCGACCTTCAAAACAACGACATATCAAAAGAGCGATAGTCAAGAGGCGATACTTCAAAATAGCGACATTGCAAAAGAGCAACATATCAAAAGAGCGACACATGTAAAGAACGAGATTTAAAACAGCAGCATATTAAAAGAGCTACATTTACAACAGCGACCTTTAAGCAAATGAGGGTCACATCAAATTGAATCAATAATAATAAAAAAAATGCAGACTCAATCAAACTAACCCAAACTAACCCGTCGGCCTAGTGCAATCTAGTCCTCGTAAGTTAGCATTTTATTTGAAAAACAAAGCGCGCTCAAGAGATGCTACGTTGTAAGTAAATTAACTTTGTTTTTTTTTAAGTAAAATGATCGCGAGGACTAGATCGGACTAGGCGGACGGGTTATTCTGGGTTAGTTTGAGTAAGTCTGCAACATTTTTGAACCAATAATAATCAAGAAAATGCAGACTTAGTCAAACTAACCCAAAATAACCCGTCCGCCTAGTACGCTTTAGTCCTCGTAAGTTCAAAAATGCGTGCTCAACGGATGCTACGCTATAACTAAATTAACTCTGCTTTTTGTAAATAAAATGCTAACTTACGAGGACCAGATCGCACTAGGCGGACGGGTTATTTTGGGTTAGTTTGAGTAAGTCTGCATTTTCTTCATTATTATCGATTCAAGTCGATGTGTCGTTCTTTTGTTTAGATGTCGCCGTCTGTCGCTTTTCTGATATGCTGCTGTGCTGTTTAGATGTCGCTCTTTTAATATGTCGTTCTGTCGATATGTCGCTGTTTTGATGAGATGTCGCTGTTTCGCGCTTTTAATGTGTCGCTCTTTTGATAAGTCGCGGTTTTGATTTGTCGCTCTATTTGAATGTCGCTGTTTTGAATGTCGCTGTTTTGATGTGGCGCTGTTTTGAATTGTCGCTCTTTTTAAATGACGCTGTTTTGATATGTTGCTGTTTTGAATGTCGCTAAAATAAGACCGCCGTTTTGAATATCGCGGTTTTGAATATCGCCCTTTTGAACCGGAGCCGTGAAACATACCACGAGACAAGCGACGGAAATTCTGAGTGTCTCGAGTTCTGTATTCTTACGTGTATACTTTCTCCGTTGCATTTTGTAAAGCCCTGCAGAGTGATACATTTGTATTTTTATGTCCTAGGTACTTCCAAGAGATGCATGAGATGCGCGCTAAGAACGCCGCACTACAGAAAAGATTCGATGAGTTACTGGCTTCAGGAAAGAGCCACGAATTCAGTTTATTCAGATAATGAGAGAAATCTGGACAGAGATTTCGTCCACGACAAAGAAGAAGATTCAGATTTTGCTTTTTTTTTTTAAATTGGTCTGCTCACAAAATATAAAGTCTATACTACCCAAGCGGTACCATAAGCGGAAGAAATTAAGTGACGATGAACCCCCCGTTTGATAACGTTAAGGTTTAATCGTTCAAGAAATTAAGTACGAGGCATTGGGTTCCAGAGGTGGGTAGTACGTCACCAAAAAGAAACCCTATATCAAGAGCTCTTTGGGGTAGTTAACTTCACCACATACGGATGAAATGCCGGTGAAGTTCTTGTGGTTCTCAAATAATTTCTTCGAGCTAGAATGAGTCTGGCCAGATTGTCAGAACATCTTCCATGGTATGAAATAACGACAAGTCGGCCTTCTTACGTCTATGTTCGAGAGATTGCAATGAATTGGTAAGAGTTACTCTTCTTTTTACTGCATTTAAGAGAGTCAACGAATGCTTTGGAGCATCGCTACAGATGTAAGAACACTGTTCCATACATGGTCTGATATGAGCCTTATAAATGAGAAGAGAGTTGAGAAGTGAAGAAACTTTTTGCACGAAACAGAAAACCTAATTTTTGAGAAGCGGTTTTGACTATTGAAGATACATGGTCATGCCAAGTAAGTTGGTTTATGCGGTCACCTCAAGAAGAGATACTGTTGCTTGAGTTTTGGAAGCATTGAATTTGACTGGGTTGCTAAGACCCCATCATATTCAACAAATCATTTATAAAAATGAGCAACAGTGTTGGGGACAGAATTGAGTCTTGGGAAACGCCTGCATTTATAGGCAGTGTATCAAAAGACACATCATCGATTACAACATGCAGTGACCTGCATTCCAAAAAGCTCCTCAGCCAATGGCAAAAAAATGTCCAATGCTACAATTCTAGATTTCGAGAGTCGAGTTATATGACGTACGTCAACAGATCCCCTTTTGAACCAAAACCACTACTGTTTTTCAGAGATGGGCATCCAGGTATTTAACCAGTTTTAGGTTGTTGCCTCTTCCATTACTTTCGAGAATACGGATATAAGTGAGATGACGTCAGGACCACAAGATTTCCCAGTGTCAAGTTACAGAAGAATTAATGCCGGCGACTCTGGACATGAGGCACAAGTTCTGAAGTCGGAAATTTATTAAGGGTCCATAAACCCTGCCTGATGGCTCTGCAGGGGACTAAGATAAGAAATATGAACAAAATGTTTTTGACAGGGAGGAAAACTGGATACCGGCTTACCACGATTTGACTCTCAAACTCCAGAATCCGCTTTCAACAAGTATGTTCAGTGATCTGCAAAATTGTTATGAAGCTTGTTTGCAAACTCGCTGAAATTCAAAAGTAAATACAATTGTCATTTTGGCCACTGTTCATTTTAGCGAATACTGTACTGCTTCCTAGCCTACCTGTATTAATAAGTCATTGCGAAAAGCACATTTCGTACGTCATTATTCGCATTAAAAAAAAAGTATACATTAAAATCGTATAGGTAACATTTAGTTTAATCCACCACTCATATATTTTACAACGAACATACCTGCGACTAATTACTAGGACGTGCTATTTTTAGATGAACAAGGCAAATAGAGTCATTTAGCCTGATAATTAATGATACGCGCAAATATACCCAACGCCAGGTCCAGACTCGTAAGAGTTAAATAATAATCGCAATTAAATATTAAACGCCGTAAATTATCGAATGGGCATGTGAAACAGAAACTGCAGACTCCCAGACCGCCAAATGAATAATCGGCCTAGCGAATTTTGCACCTGCGAGAGCAAAATTGATGAGTCAGTTATGTAAATGATTATTTGGCGGATCAAAAGATTTTTGGAAAAGTAAATCCAAACAAACTTTATCTATCAATCAAACTTTCAGGAGTAAAAAACAAAAAAAGGACGAAGACGAAAGATGCGATGGTTTTGAAGCATTTCAAAAATGTATAAATAAACAGGAATCAAATACGATCTAAAAATTAACGTAATTTCTTGTGGTCTATGACAAAATACGCTGGAAAATGAAGCAGCAACTTGGTTGATATGACTCTGGGGTAAAATAATCAACCAAACAAAATGATCCAGGTTTGTTTGATAGAAAATCAATACCATGTGGACGCAGCAGGAGGACTAGCTCAAATTGGGCTCATCCAGGTTACCTATATTGGTTGTTATCAGACTTTCATCAAATTCAAGTAGGTTTAAGCTACTACAGTGAATATTAGAAAAACATTGCGACATCACCAAAGCAATATTATCGGAAAATATTCCAAAGATGCAGAGCTGGTTGGAGTTTGTGAAATTTGGACTTAAACTGCGCGCAATTACTAAAAATACTACATGGTGCATTGTTGGGCTCAGCAGCTCCAGAGATCTGGAAATACCTCTACAGTATTTCGATTATTAACTTTAGCACAACAGCTCTAAAAACCATATCTCAGTTGTGGGTTATTTCACATTTTCACCTTTTTTTTGATTAGGGTCTTCATGAACATCCCTTGAATCATGAGCAACTTCAAATTTTTGTTCTTCAGCACTTTTTTCATCATCTTCATCAAGTTCTTCTTCATCTCCACCATTAATACTCAATTTATTTTGTTTGTTTGTTAGCTCCTGACTTTTTGTTTAGAAAATTTTCTTTTGGCGCTTTTCTCTCGTCATTCAGCACGTTTATGTTTCCCGGTAAACCGTTTTGATTTAAAACGTTTTAAAAACGTGTTCTAACCAATTTGAAAACGGTTTAAATACTGCGTGAACATCTCAAACCGTTTTAAGGGAGTGCCATCACTGCTTATTATGACATTTGTAAACTGTTTTGGGGAATGCCCCACAGAAGTATAAATACAGGACAAAACGTTTTAAGTTCCAGAACGTTTTAGCGGTTGAAACTGTTTAACGGAAGCATAAACTTGGTAATTGAAATATGCTCTATTATAGCTCAAATCGCCTGCAGTATCATATCAAGCAAAGAGGCCGCCCATAGGCAGAATTTTCAATAGTTGGTTTCTAAATGTGCATATAGCAAAGCCCCAATTGGGGATAGAATATTTTCTTGATAGTTTTCAAACTTCATGGTAATGAAAACTTATTTCTCAAATTTTGCGTTCTTTGGCTTTCTGTTCTTCTCCTCCTCCTTCTTCTTCTTCCTTAACTTCGTATCCCATCCTCTTACAGAATGAGTAGAAGCAGATCATATTTTCCGTTTCCCATGATCTGATCCAAAGTACACAATTTTTCTTTGTTTGAAATTTCATCGTATTATTGCAGCTCTGCTCTGTCCTTATTTCTGCTAGTAATACAAAGAAAAATATTTGTGATGTGCTCGTCCATCTTAAAATATGTTGGTTTAAAGTCGTCAAACTCCTAATTCGATATCGGTCTGAAATTTTCTTCACAGGCATATGCCGGAAGACCTCGCCAATTACTCCCTAATGCAAACGACAAAAAGGTACAAAATATCCTGAATGGACCCAAAAGGAGCTAGTGTTTGTTTCCCGTTTATTCGAACATTTTGCTTGGAAACCGCAAATTAAAAATTAATACTACACTTTGACAATAATCAATAGTTAGAATGCTGGGAAAATGTAGAATCTTCGAACTTATCTGGAACTGGCAAACTCTGAAAGCTATTCGGAGTAAATATTAAATATTCAATGTAGCAAGCTTAACGTATACTAATATTATAATCGCCTTTGTCTGTATGGGCAATTGTATACAAAGTCAAATTCATTTAATGCTTCTTTTGAATTTATCCACGAAATCTTTAAACAACAAAAATGTTAAAGAACTACAAATATTTAACAACACTAATCTATAAACTCGTTTATCATAATATATCGTGCAGCACACAAGTTTCGAGTTTTTCCTGGATACATTCTTGAGTTGCATGCAGATAATGTATAGTAGGCGCATGCAGAAAAATCAGCAACTATGCTGGGCTAATAATAATACACAATAATAATAAAGATATTGTTATTAGAGCAAAAATGTAGCTTGTAAGCGAATTCAGCACCTGGAAAAATTGAATGGCATAATAACTTTTAGCGTAAGGAATAAATTAAGATAAACAGTATAAATTAAATTAAAAGTCAAAAACTACGAAATTTTAATAAAAAAAATGTAGCAAAAATGATGCTGGATAAAATTACATACGCTGTTTCTGTTGTTTTTCTTTTAGTAATCTTCTTCGGACAGCTAAAAGATATAAAATACCTTATTTAAGTTATTACATTCTGCTCACAAGATGATTTTTCAATATGAATATTTTACAAACAATTGATTCTTCTACTATGCCTATTCTTCAGATGATTTTCACATAATCGTAGAGATCATAACTATAAACACAATGGGCAACTGATAACACTTTTTTAACATAAAGTGAATAGGTACTTATTACACTTTGGCTTGCATCAAGACTCAAATAACGACCTTCTTGACATGTCTATTTATTTATGAGGGAACGCATTCTTACGTTCAATGTATTTAACCGTTATCTTTGAATCGATGGATGGTTGCCAACCATATAAATATATCTATGTCTTCAATATAGGAAAATATACGTTCTGCTTTTACTTTTATATTAGCCTGAGTTCAGTTCTGTTACATACAACTATAAAAAAAAAACTTTGCGAACAATATTTGTCTTCAAATTGACTTTTAAATTTAAAATTCATACTTAATTATACCTAGTTATATTTTCCCATTATGTTCCATGTATGTATGTATGTAAGATTGCAACATTCAGCTTGGCTATTTAATAGGAAATGATAGCCATAGATACCGCTTTCCTATATAATTTTTCTTTTCTCACATATTATGTAATCAAGAATACACTTTCTGACGCAATAATTCATTTTGGAAATAGTTCTTTTCTTCAACAAGTGATTCGGTAAAGTTTGGTCACGTTTATCAAAAACAGTCTCTGTGAATAGGTTTCGTTTTGGCAAATCGGGACAAACCGGTTCGCCTATTTCATATTTTTAAAAAAGAGTAATATTAAAAATGGAATGGGCAACAATAGTGAGCACCGTAAAAACGAGAGAACTTGCCCTCCTAGGTAGGGTTGATAATAAAAGGAAAGATACAAGGCCAAAAAAGTGTGGGAAGAAGACACACTTCATGGCTGAAAGACTTGAGAGAGTGGTATCGAACTGTAGCTCTATTTCGAGCAGCCGTCTCCAGAGTATGAAAATTTCTACAGAAAATTGGAAAAAATAGATCGGAATTTAAGAAAATTCCTGATTCAATAGCAGAACATTTCTTCAAATTATTTAATCGTTGTCTCTATACATGGAAATCTCCGCAAAATAAAATAGATGCTGTAAGAAAACACTAAGATGGTATACGGATCAACCACTCAGGGACTCAATCCCTTACGATTCAAAGATGACACAAGACTGTTCAAAGACAGTTCTTACATCTTCAACGAAATTCTATAGAAACCAATTCAACTATTGTTGTGAAAATGATTTGAATTCAACAGTATATCATTGTTACCAGTTGTTAAATTTTGTCATTTGATATGTTATTGTCATCTATGATTGTCATTGCATTAATCAGTTTGTTATGTCAAGTTTTTTGTCTAATAAATTCTAATGAATAGAACTTCCGAATTATACCAAAGTATTGGCTTTATTAGACAAAGAACTTGACATAACAAACTGATTAATGCAATGACAATCATAAATGACAATAACATATCTCACCAAGAATCTAGTGAAATGTTGGTTTTGTGGAGGATCACGTCATCCTAGATATCTTTGTCCAGCTACTTGTCAAAAATGTTCCAAGAAAGGACATTTCGCCAGTGTTTGTAACAGTAAAAAGCATGACTCTACGACAACGTCAGCTTCCATCGTTACTGCAATTATCGAGACTGCAGCTTCGACACCAGGACTTGGAAAAGCTACAATTGATGCAAAAATTTGTGGACAACCAGTTAAAGCTCTTATTGACACAGGAAGTACATCGAGTTTCATAAACGCTTCTCTTTTTGAGCAACTTAAAATTCCACAAATTACTGCTCAGCAACGACTGAATATGGCGTCATATCATTGGTCTCTCAAGTTGAAGGAAGTTGTATTGTGTCACTAGAAACAAATACCCGTACATATGAAAACTCGACATTACTGGTTATGAAAAATATTTGCTCAGTTATTATATTGGGACACGATTTTCTACATCATCATTCTAAACTTGAGTTGTCATTCAATGGAAATCTGGATACTTTGAAAGTATGCGTTTTGATGCGAGCAGATATTACTCCTGCATCTCTATTTACGAATCTCAATAACACTTGCAGACCTATAGCTATTAAATCTAAGAAACAATCACTAGAAGACCTGAAATGTATCGAACAAGAAGTCCGGATAATGCTTTCTGAAGGTATCATTGAGAGCTCAAGCTTTAGTCACTTCCAGTACAAATCATAAGAGACGAATGGTAATCAACTATGCCCAGACTATAAACAAATTCACTGAACTAGACGCATATCCACTTCCAAACGTAGAAGACATTATTTCAAAAGTGTCAAGGTACCAAGTTTTCAGCACTATAGATCTAAAGACTGTATATCACTAAATTCCAATTCTCGAACATGAAAAACCTTTTACAGCGTTTGAGGCGTATGGCGAACTATATCAATTCACGAGAATTCCTTTTGGTGTTACCAATGGAGTTGCTAGTTTTCAAAGAGTTGTTGACAGTATAATCAAGAAAGAAAATCGTCAAGGCACATATGCCTATCTTGACGATATCACAGTAGGTGGTAAGACTCAAGAAGAGCATGACAAAAATCTTCAAAAATTCTTCAAAGTTGCTGAAAAGTATAAACTTACTATAAACTCTACTAAATCAAAGTACGGACTTAGAAAAATAAATCTCTTAGGATATTAAATTGAAAAACAACAAATCAAACCTGATCCTGATCGACTTCTTCCATTCTTAGAATTGCCTCCACCAGGAGATTATTCTAAGAAGGGAAGAATCTTGTGAAAATGATTTGGAATCAACAGTATATCATTGTTATCAGTTGTTAAATTTTGTCATTTGATATGTTATTGTCATCTATGATTGTCATGGCATTAATGAGTTTGTTATGTCAACACTGAAAAAACACAAAGTAAATTTTACAAGTAGTAGGTAGGTATGCCTAATAATTATGTTTCCAATTTAGCAGTTTTAATTATTTAAATTGTAATAATATAATGATTTTTTAGTTAGTGGGCCAATATTTTGTAAAAATTGTTTGAATTCTTAGGCTAATAAATATTTTCAAAGATAAACAAAATCTGATGTTTCTTAATGACTAATAATCCTATCACCAAATACCTATGGATTTTAGGCAAAAAATTCTCATCTTCACTTAAGCGCTGATGACCTCTAGTGAAAAAATTGAGATCTTCAGCTAAGTACTTTGATCTTCAATGGAATCGAATAAATTTCTTGGGATAAGAAAATTGAAAAATTAAGTACCTTAGGACAAGGAAATTGTGTTCAATACATTGAGATAGTGTTTTTGAGACAAGAACTTATTTATTTCCAGTAAAGTATTCGAACAATCCTATGACAAGAAAATATTTAACT